TTTGAGCAAGTTGAAAGAATGATTTTAAATCATTTCTTCAAGCTTGTCGTAGTTAAATCTTAGTGTATTTTTGTATAGAAAAACCATTTTTCTATACCAAAATATTCATTTGTTTTTACATTTTTGCTCATTATATTAATCAGTGCATATGAAATCTTAGACTTTATTTCTAAATAATTTTTCAAATATGAAATGAGTATAGTTTTTATTCAAAATTTTGCTGATTTTACATATTTTTTGGAGTATTTTTATTTTAGTTAATTTCAAAGTGCAAGAATTCCGGCAGCTTAGTTCGTGCTGAAAACATTTTCAAGATAAATTTTTTTTTCAAAATTTAACACGAGCAAAATCTTCATTCTTATCAAATACTATAATTGCATATTCTCATAAGTTTACAATTTTCGTTTTCACATAAAACCAAATGAAATTGTTTGCATTTTTTTGCCATAAATATTCAATGTATGCATTATTAAAGTTAAAAAGTTAGCATTTAGATCTCGTCAAAGTTATCCATCATTTGTAGTCGTATACACTCAACTTTAATCAGAAAAAAAATTCCGCTTGTTGATTTGAAGTTTTACAAAGCGATCAGTTTTAGCATTAAATTTCATATTAATGAATTTTAGCAAAGATTTCTTACATTTTTTGAGTTTGGAATTTTTTCTGATTTTTAAGATGAAATCATTCTAACAGTGATATTTTGTATTTTTCGAATTGAGAAAGCAAAAATAAAAAGAACTTCCTGTTAAGAGTTGAAATTGAAGCACACAATAAAAATAAGTAAATTAATTTCTTTCAGGTAGATTATGAAGTAAATGGATTAATATCTTTCATATAGAATTCTTTAATTTTTTCGTAGATATCACTCACTATATTAACGCTTTATGAAGCAGTCAAACTTGCCACTTTAGAATAAAATGTTAAAATGAATGTTAATCTTCTTCAAGAAAACACCAATTATCAAAATATCATATTTGAAGTCAATGTTTGCTTATGATATGTATAATTTGTTCTAGAAAGCATTTTTTTTCCTCTATTAAGTTATTACTTTTTCAATTTCACACCTTAGTACTGTGTTTAAAAATTGAAACTGCTCTTTTGTTTCTCGAGCAGTTTATTTTTTGTCTAGAAGATATGTACGTGTTTTCTTGAATTGTTGCTATTTTAAGTATCCATTGAAGAATAGTGTTTATTTTTGAATCCATCAAAGTATTACAGAAAGATGAATGAAAAAACTCATTATTTGGAGCAATTCACTACTGTGACAGTAAGTCAGAAGGTAAATTTAAATTTTTTTCATTGAATTTTTGTCGATTGGAGTGAAATTAGTTTTGGGAAGGTTTTATTATTAATAAAACTAAATTGTGATTCAGTTTTTGACGTGAAAACTTATCAATAATGCAAATTATTAAAAGTATAAAAATGTTGTATTTATTATCAAAATAATTACAAATTATGAAAATACATAAGTAAGTGCTTTTTTGTTTAAAATCTAATAAAAGTTTTTAACCTTATAAAATCTAGTTATTATTACCCGAGTATCATTCTCTTTCAATAATATGGGAGTAAAATATTTAACTAAAGTATTTTGAAAATATATTAAAATGTTCAGGAATATTGCATAGAAAGACAAATGCAAATCTCTCGAGCAAATAAGTTATCAAAAATTTGCTCTCTCATAAAAAGGCTTTAGAAAATGGTTGCTAAATCCAATCTTAAGCTTTATTTGTTGTTATGAGAAAAAATAAGAGTTTTTTGTGAATTCCACAATATTTTTCTCCTTTCTGAAGACTGAAATTTATTGGAGTAAGCTAGGCTTACTTTGTGGACTTAATCTATAGACCAAGACAAAAATAACTTCATACATTATATTTTGAAAAAATTTGCAAGGAGAAATTATCGCCATGTAGTACCTTACTTATAACATACTTTGATCTTTGAGCATTATCTGTTTTTAATCCATCATTTACTATTCCTTTACTTTTCTATTTTGCAGAGTTATACTTAATTTAATCAGTGTTGGGTTTTATGCAGTCTCAGGTTTTTTAATCTTTTTTAAAATATTTTATTGACATTGTTATGGTGTTGAAATTTGAAATATTATTAAGTTAGTTACTAAATCACACTTTTGCAATTAATTATGGAAAAATAAAGGAATTATATTATCGTAGTAATTCTACTGAACTTAAAATTTTTTTAACATTTCTTGATGGAATGGGAACATAATAAGTGATATAGAAATAAACGTCATATCCATTTGAAAAATCTTGAGTGTTTTCTCCGAATCAATTCTAAACAGTTGATGAATTGTTCCAGAATCGAAATTGTTTATAAATTTTTAAAATTATATTTTGTAAAGGTTCGTGTTGAAAGGTATATTTTGAGAAAAAATTGAATACCAAAATGGAAATGAGGTGACAAAAGCTGTTGCCAAATTTATTTATTTTTCTTGGAGTTTTTATCAGAAAACAGAAGAAAATCTGAAACTTGGTTAACTGAAATAAAAAGGCCTTTGCATTATTACTCTATAAAAACTTGCAAATGTAAGCGGCATAAAGCTAAGTTAAAATTTTGCTTGTGAGAAGCACTTAAAAGTCAAAATTGCTTCGGGAATTCTCGTCTGCATTCCCGAGCAACGAGCGCATTTTTCAACCCTCTCTAGGCATTTCTTCTACTTATTTTTTCTTGCTTCAGAACTATCGTATACAGTGTGTTCCCATATTTACTTCGCCAATTTTGCCTAATTTATGCTTCTTCTCTTCTAGCTATGAATTATTTATATTTTTAAATAAATTTTCTAATTTATTTATTTTTCAGTAGTATTCATTTTATAGTGACTGCTTTGTTCCTTACATTAACTAAATAATTAGTTGTTAAATTTTGCATTTTTCGGTTGCCTGATTTGTAAAAATATGAATATTTTAATTTGCTTTATTCAAGAATTCTTTTGCTTCATATTTGACACTACTTCGCACTCTTGATTAAGAGTATTTATTTGTGTTTTATTTAGAGTATTTATGTTTTAAGACTAAATTAAATAAATTGTTTCATTTCATTTTTGTTTTTAACAGTACTTTGTTTTACTGTGGTAATCAGCATCCCATAGTAGCATTTTATCAGAACATAGTCTTATGCCATCTGATAAATTGTCTCTTTGTCATCTAAAGAAGTCAATTGCAGATGGCTTCATAACTGATTATATCTATTTTCATTTTTGATTTATCTAGCAGCTGTTGTGGGAGGAAATGAAGAAATACTTTTCTGTCTAGCTACAAGTCACTTTTTTCATCATATTTCTCCTTCATCCAGACTATGTTCTTATACAACTAGTCCCGTTCATCAGGGAATTCATTAGTTATTTTTTGGATAGTCTGGGCAAGTTATTCATTGAAAATGCCCAAGTTGCATATGACAAGCTGCTTGATCTCAAGATACTTTACAAGATCATACTGTTTTATTTTCCAATCTTCTATTACTCAAAATGATAATTATAATATTCTTCTGCCGGTTTAAATATCTTAAGAAAATCACACTTAAAGTTTGCTTTAATTAAATGAAATCAATGGATTCAGTGATATTTCACAATATATTACTTATACTCCTAATTGGATCATTTTTGCTATTTTTTTTATGCATTTTTTGTGCTGCAGCATTCAGTGATCGAGGAATATGCTGTCAAGATCAATATAGATCAAGCAGATTATTTACTAACAATTTTTTGCCATCTTCAATTCCATCAGAAAACTTTGTATATGAAAAAGTTTCACAGTTGCTTGGACAAGGGAAAGAAAAACAAAATGGCTCAGTTTGTTTTGCTTCTACATCAAGTCAGGAATCAGAAGCTGAACTTGAAACTAGACTTAACTTAATGACAAGAATTAAAGCTGTATCAGAATCAGGTTCTAATTCTATCGCCGAATCATTTGATGCCAATTTTTGCACTGAAGCTAAATTAGTTTTCGAGACTGGTAATTCAATACTTTTTGAAGTCATGAAACAATAAATGCATTTCTTTATGGATGTGAATGGAAGGATAGGCGCTACTTTCATGTTCAATCACTTCGGAATATTTACGTGAATTGTTCAAAGATAAAAATTTCGCACTGATCCTATCTAAAACTTTCCGAAAAATTAATGTAAAAATTACACTTTACGTGTTGTTAATATTACAAATACATACAAAAATCTGTCGAGATTTTCTGAAGCTGTGTAATTTTATTGTATAAAATAGCTTTCAGTACTTTTTAAATTAAATGTGAATCTGTCACATTTTCTTAAATAAAATTACATCTTGTTTACTTTTTTAAATAATTTAAAGCAATGGTTCTAAGATAGAAGTTCAGCTCATAAGTATTTCATACTTGTCAATCTTAATTATATCATTGATAATTTATCTCTGTTCAACTCCAAAATAAGATACTCGGAATTTTGTTTAAAATTTTGTAATTTTTCGTTTATTTTGTCGAAGTTATTTCTTAGCTGCTGGATTCATTTGAAACTTACTGATGAAAAATTAGTAATTATGTTTGGAAATTTCGTTTCAAAGAAAACTGCCTTTTTTTGGTGCTCAATGCATTTCTATTAATCCATTCTTCTGCATATTCTTAAATGCTTTTTTTTAATAATGAATATTTCTTAGCTGCTGGATTCATTGGCTCAGTTGTGCAAAGAATTTGAGATATTTTTTTAATGTGAATCCATATTTGATTGAAAGATTAGACTTTGATGATAAACTGCAATTAGTTTTTATAATAAATTGAACAATATAAGTAAAATTTGGGTGAATCAAGAAATTTGATCGCTTTTGACCTTCTTTATGATTTCAGAAGCTATCAGAAGAATGCTACTTTTTAATTTTATAATTTTCTAACTTCAAAGTTAGACAATTTGTTTAAGGCCATAATTTTTCTATCATAAACAAAAATGAACGTATATGTATATAAAAGAGACTAATTTTTCAGCTGTATGACCAAATATCATGCTTGTCAATTCAGCCTTCAATGCTGGAACATGAATCTTCTTGTTATGCAAAAGAGGTTCTTAATTCATTTAATAAATTCTAAAATTTAATCATTAACTTACTTTCTTATTTGTTTATTCAAATATGCTTCATTCTTTTTTTAATATTAGATTTTTTGCTCATAAAATAATTTTAGCTATCTGCCGAAATCGACAATTTTTTACAACCTTCATCTGAAGCCATTGAATTACGCCAGCTTCTTCAATCACCACAAATTCAGGTTGTTCTAATATTCTTTTAGAATTAGTTAGTAACGTGTTAATTTTTTCAAAGAAATCAATTCTATACAGAAAAGAATTTTCTGATGATATTCTAACTTTGATATGAATAATATTTGTAATATAAATTATGCTATAATATTTGAAATATGTAAAATCCAAAATTTTTTGCTTTAAATAAGGATTTACAAATAGCTTTTTGTATCGTGTTTAAAAAATTTATGATAGTCTTATCGACTACGTAGTATTAAAACTTATTATTTTGATACTGAGAATGATTAATTATAATTTTATTGTCCTATTTTTTAAGAATAATATTTAAAACTTCTATACCGATGTATTCAGGCTTTACTTCAAGCACATGATGTAATAATTCATGAAATTTACGAAGGAAGTGCTCGAGGAAATTCTGTATCCACAGGTGAAGCAATAAACAGCGAAGCTACAATTATCAGTCACCGAAACTTGTCGCAAAACCAGCGTACATTATCACAAACTTCATCCGTTTCTCATGTAATTGTTTTTTTCAAAGAATATATTCACTTTCTTGTCGCTTACGTATTCATGACCTTTCATTTCTTACTGAAATTAATTCTTACTGTAAATTTGTTTCAATGACAATGTTGATAGTAATGATAGCAGGAGAACAATAACTTCAAATTTATTTTTTATGCGTTTTTTTTAGAAAAATACAGAGAATGAAATTCGGACAGCGTTGCAACCTTCTACGTCATCACAATTGCCATTTTCATACCTCAATGGTGGTATACTGCGCTCACAGACGCCACACAAATCTGCGTCTCCTTCAAGCACAACTGAACTACCGCAAACATCTTTCGTCCCACCACTTTTTGATGATGACGATGACCTTCTGATGGATGCCGTGAGTCGCGTACGTCTTGTACAGTTTCAGAAGGATACCGAAGAACCCATGGGAATTACTCTTAAGGCATTCACTTCTTTATGTGAATTATGCATTTTATTTTAAAGTTCATAATTATTCTGCAGAAAATATGGCAGTTAATTTCTTAGTGTTTTTTGTAACTTCCGTTTTTTAAGATGTGAAATGTGTTTTGGAATCACTGAAGTGTAGATCCCACTTACTAAATTAATGATAATTAGTTTTTAGGTCACTGAAGATGGTCGGTGTTTGGTAGCTCGAATTATGCATGGTGGATTAATACATCGACAAGGTAAGCTTACTTGTCCCGTTAGTTTAAATGCGTTTCTTTCCCATAATTATGCAAATTTTCCTTATTTGCGTAATTATTGGAAAAGTATTAAACTATTCTGTTTATGTAGAATTAGAAGTAAAAATCAATTTGTAAAAGGTTTGAGAGGTAATTTTTGTCATTTTCTTGCTGATTTCTTCTCAGATACTACAAAATTTGAAAATGTTATTTTTAGGATTTAAATTTGCGCATATAAAGACAAATTTACTTTAGCATTTAGCAAAATTCAAGCAGAAAATTTTTTATCAACTTTTATAAAATTTTTGATTGCAAATTCAGTTTCGTCTGTTTGCTTGCAATGCAATCGACAGCAACACGTTTGCAGCAACATTACATGTCGGTGACGAAATACGTGAAATCAATGGTGTTTGCGTGTTGAATCAAAGCGTAGAAATGCTACAACGTTTACTACGTGACGCACGTGGTGCTGTAACTTTTAAAATTGTTCCATCTTATCGTAGTGCACCACCAGCATGTGAAATATTTGTTCGAGCACAGTTTGACTACGATCCAGGTCAAGATGATCTGATACCCTGTCCTCAAGCTGGTATTCCCTTCAAAACTGGCGATATTCTTCAGGTTAGCTGGTATTTATGATTTTTTTAGTTTTAAATGTATTGATCAATATCAGTTATAACTGCTATTCTATTATTAAAGGTGATATCAAAAGATGATCATAACTGGTGGCAAGCTAGGTTTGTCTGCCCATTTCCTGCTCTTGGGAGTGGTGGTGCAAGTGGAACCCATACACCCGGAGCTTCTGTAGCGGGATTAATACCTTCTCCCGAACTACAGGAATGGAGAACTGCTTGTTTAGCTATGGAACGAGCTAAAGATAACAGTTTGTATTTTTTTATTCGTTTGTTTTGTTTATTTAAATGTGAGCAATAACTTTGAATCGTTTAAGTTATTTAAAAGCAAAGAACAAATTCTACGCTCGAACTTTGCTGTTCATCTTTTTAAAAAATATGAAATTGTTGATTAATTGTTTATTTTTTTTCTTTGCATGAAACATCTAGAAGATGGAATAAGTTACTCTATTATCATAAAATGCTGCAAGCAATATTTTTTTGTCAAATGAAAGTTCGTCGAATGCATATTTTGAAATAAGTTAAATACTTTTTTACTTTTGATACGGTAGAAAATTACGGAACAGATGTGAAAGAAGCAATTAGTGTGTCAAAATTTACATCAGAAAAGTTATCGCTTATCAAAGTTTGAGGCATTATTGCATTTCAAGCGCTATTTTTTCAAATATATATTAATTGAATTGTGATACCTTTCGATACAATTTTTATCTTATTTAAGTTCCATAATTCGATTTTTTGAAGTTGTAAACAAGCTTGATAAAAATTATTAAAATGTGATTGAATACTACTTGCTCTTTATTACCATTTCAGAATGTTGTCCAATTTTACTTATAACACGAAGGCATTAACAACAGTACTTGTATTACATTTGATAGGATTTGTTAATTAAATTAAGAAATGATTAAAGATTACTTCTAGCGCACTGTATGTGGTTTAACAAGAAGAAGAAGTATTATACGACAAAATACCTTCAGAAACATTCCGCTTTATTCGATCAGCTCGATCTCGTTACTTATGAAGAGGTTGATAATTTTATATCTCATCTTTTTATATCTATTTTTGTTCATGAAATGTAATCTCTTGACTTAATAATGATTATTTTTTAACTTCAGTAGGCTTTTAATAATTTTTAGAAATTTCAGTGCGAAAAAAATATTTTTACCATTCTTTATCAATTCCAGGTGATACGACTGGCAACATACAGACGTAAAACTTTGGTTTTGTTGGGTGCTCATGGGGTAGGTCGAAGGCATATCAAAAATACACTTATTCATAGGCATCCACAAAGATTTGCTTATCCTATACCACGTAAGTTTTTTCAGTCACTTTGAGTAATACTGATTAGCATAAAACTGCAATTGAAAGTTGATTTCACATTAAAAATGAACTATTTGAACGTATTTTGTGCTCGTTAGAATTTTTTATTGTTAAAAATAAATAATCGGTTTACTTCGTCCTTCCTTTTGAAACACAACGACATTTAGTGTTCCTATTTAATAAGCATAACTTTATACGTAATTAACTCGTAGTGCATTACAGATACTACAAGACAGCCAAGAAAAGATGAAATTGATGGGAAGCATTATTATTTTGTATCTAATGATTGTATGCTTGCTGATATCCAAGCAAACGAATATCTGGAGTATGGAACTCATGAAGAATGCATGTATGGTACTAAGCTAGAAACTATCCGAAATATTCATAGGTCTGGAAAGACAGCGATTTTAGATGTTGAACCTCAGGTAATTTTTTTGAATTTTTGGTATTTTTATTTGTACAACTCTAAAATTATGAAAAATCTTTAAAATTGAATATGAATTCAATTTTCAGGCACTCAAAGTTCTCAGAACAGCAGAATATGCTCCATTTGTCGTTTTTATTGCTGCACCAAATTTGCAAGGCCTACAAGATGTAAATAGTTTTTAATAAATCTGCAAAGTTTACTTTAAAAATAAAAATTTTAAGGTTGAATTTTTTGATTAAATATCGATAATGAATTTTTGTTATTTTACTTTCGTTTATTAGATTTCATTCGACAGCTAAAAACATCGGTGATGCTTCACAAATCTATGATATACCAGTTTTCAAATTACAAAAATGTTGCAGCCAGATGGTAGCTTAGAACGTTTGTTACGTGAGAGTGAAATCTTACGGCAAGCATTTGGCCATCTTTTTGATTACGTGATATTGAATAACGACATTGACGAGACTATTCGGCAGTTGGAACTTGTGGTGGAGAAGCTTAATGCTTGTCCGCAGTGGGTGCCGGTTTCTTGGGTGTATTAATTTAACTAGCCTTTTTTAAATATACCAAATTTATGTATATTATAAAAATATCAGAAGAAAAAAATACCGATGGAAATATACTGAAAATTTTCAGAAATATTTTCATTTGTCGTTTCTTAGCTAGCATTTTCACATTTTTGATGTTAAATGTTAGTAATTTTGGATGGTTGTGCGTAAGAAATAGATTATTCATTTTTTTAAAACTTAAGGTTGCTTCATTTTAGCAAAAAGCTAAAAAAATGGCCAAATTCTTTCGCCTATTGTATTATTTTGTGATGGTATATTGTGGTCAATGTTTCTTGAGATTGTATTTATTTTTCTGAATAATTTCTTGCTATTTAGTTGTTAAATTTATGGCAATTTATTTCAATTCTTAAGCAGTATGAAGAATTAATTCAACTTCTAAAAAATTATTTGAATGAATGCATGTTTTCTTATTTTACTTTTACTGCCGTTTAGTTTATACTTCTTACTGAAAATATGAAATTTGCGCTTATTAAGTCGTTTCATCTTCAGTCGTTATGAAAGCCATAAAGTGACCTTATTTTAATATGTAAGCATACATAAAGAATAAATATTATATTCTTTTGCACTTTTTTCCCTGAATTATTCAGCCTTTTCTTTCTGCAACGTAAAAAACTGTTGTTGTTTTTCTTCTTTTATTCGGACAAAGTTTACTAAAAACTCAACTAAATAATGTTTTATGCTTTAATTAATTGTTGATTTCTTGTTAGTACTTGATTTCAATTTCTTAATAATTCCACTCTTTTGCATTAGCGTTATATCACGTTGTATGCTTACATGCACAATGATTATAATGAATAATTTGACACAATATTGTGACTTGTAAGCCTTTATATTAATGTACTGTTGTCTTTAACATGTTAAAATTGATAAAAGTTAAACTAATCCCGTATTCATTCCAGTTAATAATAGGTTAATCTTTGAATTTGGTATGTACTTGATATTAAGTCAACGTATGATATCAGTAATGTAAATATATTTATTCATTAATTTATGACTAGAGAAGAAATTAAAACATGCAGATTAATTTGCGGCTAAAAATGAATGAAATTCGAAATGATGCAAGTATGCTTAATAAATTTTCCCTGTAGTAAATGAAGTGCTATAAAAAATTTAATTTTTATTAAATTAAATTTATATAAAGTAAATTAAGAGGACATCATCATAGATAGTCATACCGTTAGTGTTGTTGTCAGTACAGGGATCAATGCAATATCCATCGGATCCCGGTTTCATTTATCCTAAAAAATGTGGATATAATTTGTTTCATTTCTATAAATAGTTTTATTGATTAATTTTGCTACTGGATAAAATAAACTTGACTTGGATTTAAAGGAGCGAAATTTCAAAAATTTAATTTAAATTTCATACATTTGCAATACTCATTTGAAGCATATATCCAAAAATGCTAGATGGCCACTTAAATAAAAATATCAAAGCTGAGCGATCTGCTCCAAACATTGTTGGATTTATTCACATCTTATCTGATGAAGTTAATTATAGTTTTATTAGTGAGCAAAAAAACAAAATTGCCTTATTGTTTTAATAATTTTCAGAATGAAAAAACAAAATAAAACTTGAAATTTACCCCACTTCCAGCAGTTTCGTCTAACTTTCTGTCATCGTTCCCGTCACGAGTTTTAGTAATACCTTTTGCATCAGTTCTTTTAGCAGCTTTTTTGTTAGCTGCTTCATTTTTCTTTGCAATGTTATTTTTTCTAACTCCGTTACCTTTGTTAACAGTATGATTGTCTTTTGCTAGTCTTTTTAAAAATAATTAATTTTAAAATATAAAAATTAACAAAAATTATTGCAATATGATTTCAATATTACTTTTGTTTGCAGTGCACTAATAGAATAAATACTGAAAATTTTGGTGTTATTTCTGATATAAATTTTAAAAATGGAATGAATTATGAATAAAATTATTCATTCTTTTACTTTTTTCTCTTTCACTATCCTTGTCCTTGTCGTAGTCCCTGTCCTTGTCATGGTCCTTGTTCTTGTCGTGGTCCTGATCCTTGTCGTGGTCCTTGTCCTTGTCCTTGTCCTGGTCCTGGTCCTTGTCCTTGTTTATTGTCTCGTCCTTAAAGTAATATCATTCAGTGATCATTTTTTTAAATTTAGCAAAACTTTTACTCACATAATAATTTGTATTATCTTTTAATGCCAAGTATACAATATCTTTATTTGTGTCACGAAATCAAAATTGAAAAATGAGATTAAAAATTCAATGAATTTCGTTCACTGAATGTTATTTGAATTATAAAAATATGTCATCTAGACTGTAATAACACGGATTAATAAGTCTTCAAATATGCATTACTTTACCTTTTTTACTTCCTCCACATCGTCAAGATTTGTGGTAACCTTTGAGATGTGGTCAGTGGTGTCCTGACAATATCACAACCGTTGTTTTTAACTCTTTTACATGCATAGTTTTGTTTGTTTGGATTAAAATCGAAAATAGTATGCTTTTAATGAAATTTTGATTCAGCTGTCTGATAAAGTCTAACTCAATAAGTTAATGGATCATAGCATTCATTAATTTTTCAGGATTTTTGCGAAGTTGAAAAATTAAAAAAGAGTCTAAATCTATTTGATATGAGGGTAATCTAGAATTAACCTTCTTTGCATCTTGTTCAGAATCCCAATCACTTAATACATCATCCATAGTGGGATAATCACCCTTCCCACGAGTTTCCTTCCCTCTCGCAATCCGCTCCTATACTTTCAAATTGAACTTGATTGATTAAGATTTCTTTATTCAATAAAATAACTTTTTTGAGCAATAAGACTTTTTCAAGTAAGTTAAGTTTTTTTCAATCCAAAGTTAGTAAACTTTAACACAGCAGTTAGTATTGTATACAAAACTTCTCAGAATATTCTGGTAGAAGCACAGGTAGAGAAGTATTATACCTCTTTGGCATTCCGCTTCATAATTTTGGGCTTTATTTCTTCAATGCGTTTTTCTTCAGCCTCTTTGATTCGTTCCTTTTCTGTTTTTTTTTTTATTCAGAATTATTAATCAAAATTAGCATTTGAATATTTTATTTAATAATAATTTAATACAATGCTTAAATTTTGTGGTAAGAATAAATTAAATTGAATCAATCGATAGGTGACATTGGTGACGGCAGTAAAGGTGTAATTTATTTAAACTGGAATTTGAATAAATTTTCAAAGATGAAGTTTAGATTTAGAGTTAAGTTTAAGCTTAGACTTGCGGTTAGGTTTGAGTAATTACCCGCTGCTTCTAGTTCTTCCTTCGATAATTTTTTTTGCTCCTTACCAGTAATTTGTGCAATTTTGTTACCACCACCCACTTTGAGCAAACTTCGAGCGCCATCTGTTCCTTTCAATTTCTGTATAAAAAAGAAATAAAATTAGAGACAAAAATTATTTTTGGCACTGATTAATTATAACTTCCATCTTATTGCTAATTAATTAATTATAAATTCTGTACTGTAATCATTTATATTTGTCTACTAGCATTTTTTTAATTAAGCGCTTCTGTAATAATTTGTGCCAACTATATAAAGTTTGCGAAAATACATGTGTTATATATAATTATAATCACGTCTTCACTGTACAGAAAATTGAAATGTTGACTTTAAGCTAATTTTATTTTATACATTTAAGTAATTTTATTAATTAACTACGTTACAAAAAATACATTTTGAGAAGTAAATTTATTAAAATCCGTGATAATTTTAATTAATTCATTGATTTCTTAGGCAAATATTGACAGTTATGTAATTAATTTTGTTCCCAGAGATTGGGCGGTTCATTTTGAAGAAAAGAAAGATTCTGAATATTTTGTGATAATCTTCTGATAACAAAAATGAATATGAATTACTGACTGCATTTTTTTCTTTCTGATCTGCCCGAAGTTTCTTCTTGTTTGAACATTGCATTGACACGTTTAGGATCAATGCAATGTACTGAAATTGAAGTAAGTTTAAAAAACTGACTATTTTCTTTATTTCATATCATTTTGGAAACAATAATTGTTGTTGACTTTAATAATTATTCAACTTGAATAATTTTTGACCTTTATAATTTAATTAATGCTATTACTCTATCAGTTGATAATACTCAAATGCTTTTATAGCTTTCTAATTACTAAATTATTTTTTACTATTATATATTTTGATATTACTAAGATTTTGTTATCAATCAGTTATCAAAGTTACACCACTAAATTATAACCTCTAAAAATGAATGTTTGAATAATTCGGTTTATTTTATGCTAATTACATAAATAAGAAGGAACAAGTTCGAGATAGAAGAAAGAAATTTTGATTAATTTATAATTTTATCTAATTGTTTCCATATCATAAAAAATTTTGGAATATTCGTAAATATACTTACTAATACTAATGACCAGATTGGAAGGAATAAGCCCAAGGCTGCGTTATACATCCATGATTGCGATATTGTCATTTTCTGACTTCATAAAAAAATTTTCAATTATTTGCTATCAAAATTTTTATTAAATTTAAAAAATGCACTGCAGATAATATTTAACCATTTTGATTTATATTGGTCGAAATTTAAAAAATTGACTTATCACTCATTAAATAATTTGATAAACTTTATTACTTCTATACTTATATCTTTACTCAAAATTACATTTAATAGCTATCTCATTACATTTTCAATCTTTCCAATTTATATGCTTGAGACTTTTGTAATAAAATTTAGAAGAATATTTTGAAAGTTGAATTCTGACTCTGTTTTCACTTTAAAAAAAAGAATGGTAGTGCCAAGTAGTTATAAGCGGTCGCGTCGAAGGTTTAGGTGGTGGCATTTGGAATTACCTCTAAGCCGAAAATCCGGAGCGGCTGCTCGGTGTAAAGAAGTTTTATACAATGATATGCAATACTATTATATCAGTCTTATTAATACACTTATCAAATACAATATGAGATTCAATTTTTTAATTATAATTTTGCGATTTTCTCATTGTACTAAGAAAATTTTTGGTGTAAAAGTGTGTAATTCAAAAATAATTAATTTTATGTAAATTATGAATAAAGTAAGAATAATGCGTTACTACGTCTAATGTAAAAATAATTTCATATATACTAAAAATAATAATATATATTTAAAAAGTCACTGATTGTGCAGTAAATTATCAAATTCGTATAAATTTAGCTTTAGCAATGAATCATTCTTATACTAATTATTATTCAGAAATATTTTATGACAGTAAAGGAGAATGTTTATAAAATTGTAATAATTTTGATTCACTGCATGAATCATTTTTTGGCAATTTCACATACATATTTGAACAGCACTAAATTTTTTGCTCGAACATTTTGCTTACTTGTACAATTAGCATAATCTAATTTAAAAAGTAAAGAAATTTTATTTGAAAAACGACAATTTCTACAGTCCAAAACAAATGAGACATAAAATGATTAGCTTTCATTTCTAAATTATTTGTATATATTTATCAAAATACTATAAAATTTAATTTGGAATATAATTTATGCACAAAATTTTTGAAAATTCAAACTGTCAGTTAAAAAGTTTCAAACTGATCTTAAAACTGAATACATTTTCAAATTGTACAAATATAAAATTGCAATAATTTTGATTCCAGATAAGCAACTATTATATGAATATTGTGTATGAGCAAGCAACAACTGTTGTACTCTCGATTTTATTGAAATTCTAAGAAAGAACAACTGTTGTACTCTTGGCCTGATTGTTGTGCTAAAAATGAACAGCTGTGGTACTCTTAGTCCGATTACTAGGCCAAAAATGAGCAACTGTCGTACTCTTAGCCTGATTGCTAGGCCAAAAATGAGCAACTGTGGTACTCTTAGCCTAGATCAAATCTTATCTGCTCATTTTCTTAACATTACATCAACAGATCAATCAATTTAAGATCTTTGCATCAATAAAACACAGTCAGATTAACGATCAAGTTTTAGTTTGTCATAAATGTGCTGGGAAGAGAAAAGAGAACGATTACTTCATCTCTCAACGTGTTTTACTTTTTACTATCATTACCAGTTTTCTCGTTCTCACTGATTACATTACTTATCTTATTTCTAATTTTGTCATTAGATAATTTTTTTTGTTAGTTGTCAGCAATACTTTCACGCTGTCATGCTAATAATTTGAGCAATCAAATTTTTATCAATTGATAATATTTGCATATTTGATATTAATTCAGCTCAAGTAATGTCGGCAAATGATATTGCTTTTATTTTAGATAAAATTGAGTACAAAATTATAATTAATTTGAAATATTGTCCATTATATACTATTTCGAATTAACTTACATTTCTTTACTTAAAATATCATTAAGTATAATATATATGCATTTATTGATAGAAATGTGGCTTACTTTATTTTCGTTATGTTGTACTGTTGTCGCTGGTGTGATTGACAATCTTAAAGGTATTGAAGAACCTCTATGGCATGCTTCTGACAATGGTAAAAGGTATATGTGTAAATATACAAATTTTAAATATAATGTAAAGTAATCATACCATAATATTTGAAAATAAAAGTTATTTAATGGATATTATTCGGCTTAATTTGCATAAAAATTCATTTTAATTATCTGAATTAATACTAATACAGTTTTTATATATTTTAACTTAGTTTTGATTGGAAAATAAATATGCGTTGAGATATTTTTGCAGATTTGTTATTAATGAGCTTCGTAGCAAGAAAATATCTCTAGAAGCTGAAAATTTGGTCGGTGATGAACTTATTGACTATGTCAATTCTAATCAAAAATTATGGAAAGTAAGTTAATAATTAATGCTAATTATTGAAAAATTCTGCTTTCTCCTTATTTAATGTAATAACAGTATTATTGAGGACAAAAATAAACAAATAAATTTATATAGTTAAAAAATTTTAGGGATAAAAGCAATATCTTGAAACGAGATTAACTTACTCCTTCTAATTTTTAAAATCTAAAAATTTAGATTTTAATCAATAAATGAATATTAGACATTTATTGATTAAAATCTTAGGTAAACTAAATTTAAAACCTCAGTAGAGTAAATTTTTAACCTTAAATCATACACTGACAGTTCTTTTATGAAAAAAAAAGAAATGAATAACGAAGAATTCTTCACTTTACTACCAATAATTGTTTAATGAAAATTTTTTTTAAAATTTATTCAAAAAAACAAATTTGAGTTTTAAAAAAAGCTTGATTTTATAGGCAGCGAAGAACAAATTCAATTTTTATGATGAACACGTGAAGTATGGTTTATTAGGTGTAAACCATGTGAAATTATCAGTGGAAGATAAAAAGAACCTGTCACCGACTCGGTACCTTAATATGTACATTCCGGAAACGTTTGATGCTCGTCAAGAATGGCCAGAATGTCAGTCAATTCAGAATATTCGTGATCAGTCTTCATGTGGTATGTTTAATTTCAAATTTGAATAAAAAATTATTTGTATTAACCATATGGTAAAGTGCAAAGTTCAACAATTTTTAGTTCACCTTATTACAACCGCAATACAAAGGTTAATGCTGCTAAAATTAAGGAATTTGCAACAAATTTAAAATGTTTATATTCTTAAATTTGAATAAGTTTCAGGCTCATGCTGGGCTTTCGGTGCTGTTGAAGCGATGTCTGATCGTATATGCATTGCATCGAAAGGAAAACTACAAGTAACACTTTCTGCAGATGATCTTCTAAGTTGTTGTAGAAGTTGTGGTTTTGGGTAAGTTATTGATTTTTTACTTTTGTATTTAAACTTCAACAGTACTGAGAGTTAGGATAAATTTGAATAAATTTTGCATTGTGTAAAATATTTAAACTAAACTATGTAATTTTTAATTTAAAAAATCAAATTTTTCACTTTGAAAAATATTAAATAATTTAAATTTCTGCTAACAAAACAATTTTCTGAATATCAATACATCGTTTAATTTAAAATCAACAAATTACATGATTTTATATAAAATTTTGAATTAAATTTTTGCTTTTCGTGAGCTTCCTTTTTTTGTACAGATGTTACGGTGGTCAGCCAATGGAAGCTTGGAGATACTGGGTATCTCATGGTATCGTAACTGGAAGTAATTATACACTTCATGGAGGCTGTCGACCATATCCATTCCCACCATGTGAACATCACAGTAATAAAACCCATTATGAACCATGTAAGCATGACCTTTATCCAACACCAAAATGTAACCGCAAATGTGACAAAAGCTATGGAAAATCATATAGTGCTGACAAATATTTTGGTTAGTTAAATCATATTATATCATAAATATGACTTTGTTTCCATTATATCATGAATATGAATCTTGTGCTACTTCATCTTTGGTGACTTTTTGAAAAGTTTTTCTATTTAATTCTTCATCTTATACTTTATCTAATAAAATTGTGAAGTTTGATATAAATATCAAATATAAAAAATAATATAATTTAACATCAAAATTATGCAGTTTAATAGTGCTATTCCCATGAGATGTTAATTTAAAAAAAGTGCTCGTAAATAATAAAAGTAAATGAACAAAATTAAAGTGACGTAAAATATAACAGTCTTGATATACCTTACTTAGACAGGTATTTGCATTATGGAAAGTTATAGGAAAACGAGCTTATGCCGTTGAAAGTGACGTAGAATCAATTCAGAAAGAAATTATGACGATGGGTCCGGTTGAAGCCGCTTTTGAAGTCCATTCTGATTTCTTAAGTTACGAGAGCGGAATTTACAAGGTTTTTTGCATTTATTGTTTATATCATTATCAATTTTTGTATTTAATAATATTTTACTTCTAGAATTTCAAGCAATAAATGATTAGAAAAAAAATTGACAAATTTAAGACCTGAAATTAAATTAAACAAATCAATCCGATCACTAATTCTTTGATCACTTAGAGTTCTTTAAAAAAAAATAATTGAACGCTTGTGCTTATAAATCAGTTTGATATTCATAATAACAATTATATATTAATAAACGATAATAGTGAATGAATTCTTTGCTTGTATGAAATCTCAATTATTATATCTTTAAACTGATTAATAATTTATTGTTCAATTGGATTTTTGACCTGACTATAAGTAAACGTAACTTAGCTCATAATTTGAATTACCACAAAAAATCGATGAGCCATCGATAAGTTCTTCGATCAGTTATTTTTTCTGCATTTATAAAAATGAAATTTTAGCATACAGCAGGAAGTTTGGCTGGCGGTCATGCCGTAAAAATACTTGGCTGGGGTATTGAACAAGGAGTTCCTTACTGGTTGGTTGCTAATTCATGGAACACTGATTGGGGGGAAAATGGTAAGTTATTATAATAATTTTTGTTTGAAAAAAGAAAACAAAATGTAAAAAAATGAGACGAAAGTAATATTTGTTAAGATGGTTGTAGATTAAGTCTATTAAATTTAATAAATTTTAGTAAATAAAAATATTAAAAATTTTTGATTATTAATTTAAAATTATTATGACTTATTTTCAGTTTTACATAAATCCATATTACTCATTACCTTAATTTTTGAATTTTTGAATTTATAATTGCAAATAACATTGCTTAAAATAAACAAATTGATAATAAATTGAATTGTTGAAAATTAGTTGATTTGATTTAAATATTCAAGAAGGGATCCTTACATTTTTGCAATATTAACTAAATCTTTTCAGAAGTTTTGATTATTTGGAAAAAAAGCAGTTCAGTTAGTTTTTCTTCAAATTATGATATAATTTTAGAGAAGCTAATTTTTTAGGTTATTTCCGTATTCTTCGTGGCATAGATGAATGCGGTATTGAATCAGGCATCGTTGCTGGAATACCTAAACGTCAAGTGAAGACAAAGTTTTTTGCTATAAACGACTTTGTGGTGGATTAATAAGGATGAAAAAGTTGAAGCAAAAAAATTAAATCAAATAAAGTTGTATACAATAAAATTATCTGCTTTTCTTTGATTGGTATTCGCTAATTTGTCTTGTTCATGGATCTAATAAATAAGATTAACTGTGCAATACTGTGTTTCATCAGTAAGCGACAATTCTGAATCGGATTCAAGCATTAACTAACGTTTACGCATAAAAGTAATACAGTAATCAATAAAGTAAGTAATATAAGTGAAGTATTGATGTAAGTCAAAAGCGTAACGTACATGTTCATGTAGGATCAAGTGTGTCCTCACTATTTATTATTATTGCAATAAAAATTGACTTAAATTATGATGTTGGATGAAACTGTTATTCCATGAGTAGAATCAGAATCAGCAGCTTTATTCAATCAAATTATGATGAATGTCAACGATAAATTTCCTTAAAGAATGCGTTACTGAAAATGCGCATTTAATTACTAAAACTATTTTAGTAAAAGTATTATAGTTTTATTTCGAATTAAGCCTAAACATAATGGATAAAACTGACCAACTAATAGCCTAAATATTTAGACTAGTACATATAGTTTTCATATAATAATTGAAGAATATGACTTATTCATAATCGAATTTTAAGATTTTTTCAGTCTTCTAGAATCAGAAGCAGAATTTCTTCTCTCTAAAGATACCTTCTACTGAATTTATCCTTCATAACTTTCTAACATTTTAGTCTTTCAACTCGAGTATGTTTAAATCAATATAACTTTGTTTAACAGCCATAAAATTATATTTTTTAATTTTGACTCCTTGGCAGGCAGTCGTCCTTGCTAATATCCTTGCTAACTTTATTAGTGAAGTCTTGAACGCCTGAAACCTAAAAAAGGTATCATTTATGGTGACTTTTTTATTGTTATATAAAAAATATTATTCCTTTATTAGTTTAATGGCTCAAAAGTATATAAACAATGAAAATGATTGAATTATAACAAATAATAATTTGATTACTGAAGTACTCACTTTGCAGCCAGCTGATATTATTTAAAATCATGCAGTAATCAATGGCATTTAATAAAATGAAAATTTAGACTTGAGAAAAAACAATGGATGGAATTATATCTACATTGATGTGGATAACAGTTCTGATAATTATGATGTCTATTAAAGTGAACTCCACATCTATCTGCTGTAAAAAAGTTGAAACTTTTTATTGCTAAAAAAAACGTGAAGCAGAATAAAATTAAACTTGTGAGATAAAATGCAATTTTTAAAATAATTAAAATTTGGTATAATTCAAAATTATTTACTTAAAAATAATATTTTAATGCTGAAAAAAAAGGCATGAAATGAATCCTGCTTTAATGACCTAAAATTCAAATTCAAAAATACCAAATAAAGTTTTATTGGCAAAAAAAATTTTTATGTCTGTATGATATTAAAAATTTCAGAAAAAACAAGAAAAAACAGAAGGTAATTTGTATTAATATTTTTATTAACATTGCAGTCATTTTAAATAAATTTTTGGAATAACTAAAATATAACGAAAAATTTGAAATGGTACAAAAATTGATTAAATGAAAATGGAATTATTACCATATGAAATATTTTGATATTTTATTTACAAGACAATAAATACAAAATTAAGGCTTCTAGTTTATTTATCACAGAGTTAAGCAAATTACAAACTTTGTAGCTTATGATAATTAAAAATTGTTTACTAATAATTTATAATTATTTTTTGTTAAACACAAAATGAATAGCTAACTACTTGAAGAAAAGGAGGAACCACATGCACCAGAACAAGCTGGAATGGCTGGAACATTTGATCCAAATTATCAGGTTCGAGTTGTAATTTAGCACTTAGACTATTCACTTTTATGACATAACGGATTTTATTTGTATTTAATATAATAAGTGCTTATATATTAAGTTGTAGTGAAATCAAGAATGAATCTTATATGAGAAGATCATGAGCAGTAAATATTACAGACTATGGCTGGATTAGGAAACGATGTATTTGGGGCAGATAAAGGAGGTGCTGTTGGTGGCATGGATGCTGGTGGTGGCGTTGCGGCAAAACCTCCAGCTGAAGGTGGCATAGCCGGTATGCTTCAGTCTTATCTCACGTATATTTCCAGCTATTAATCAATAACCCCAAGAAATTGAATTAATAATCTCGATATTTTTGACAGTTAAGGTTGAGGAAAGTTTACGCATCACACATTTATTATTTATGCATCACAAGCTCATTAAAATTTTTGAAATTCATAATTTATTTTTTCGAATCATTAAAAAATATTCCAAATGATATATGAAGATTTAAAAAGTTTAATTTTTTAGAAGTTAGAATTACATTTTGTTCAACAGGATGATTGATAATTACATAATATAATTAACAGCGTTTATTTAGGGACATGTGATCCTAATTACCAAACTATGGCGGGTTTGGGAAACGATGTATTTGGATGTGACAAAAATCTTGGCGGTGGCGGTGGAAATGGAGCTGGAATTGGAGGTGGAGGAGCATCGCCTACTCCACCAAAGGCACCGCAGCAAGGAGGTGTAGCTGGTAAAGTTTGATAAACTTTTATACTAAGAATTTAATTTCAAAAAAATCACTCTTATATAATATGATTTAAACAGTTTTTGCTTTACTCGTAATTCACGTCAATTTTTAACTTATTCGTGATTTATACCGAGTTTATTAAGGAACATTCGATCCAAACTATCAGACACTTGCTGGAATGGGCAATGACGTTTTTGAAAAGAAATAATACGTATATGAAGAATTCCTTAAACAAGCATCAAGTTAATTTCTTTACAGTTCAATTTTACTGTGAAGCGTTGTGTTAAACTTTCGTACATTGCTTAAAGACAATTGATTTCAGTAAATAACGTACAGAATATGAATATGAAAATTAAATTTCTTTGTGATCCAAATTATATTTTTAATACAAACGACAGAGTAACAATAAAAATAAATGCCTGTCCACTGATTTTTTTTCATGCTAAAAATTATTACTTCTCAGAATCAAACTTTCACGTATTCTTACGTAAATAACCTTTGAATGACTTCAAGAACTGAATGATAAATTTGTGTTATTATTTTTTTCAAACATATTATCATTATTCTGCCAAAAAAAGAGCATCTACCAAACTATATTAATAATATTATCATTATAATTAACGATGATAACGACAAAAATCATGATAACGATGACAGCAACAAAAATTACAGAAAGAGCACACTTTTTATACCGTAGTTTCTCATAGAGATGTTTGAAAAAAAAGCGGTAATTTATATAAAGAGTGAAAAAATGATATTCGTTTGGGTTCGCTCGTTTCGTTGAAAAAATCTAAATCGTATGAAAGTATTGTTTGGAAGCGTAAACTTAAGTACGTATAGCATATAAGTTTCAGAAATGATAATGTTGAAGCTAATCAAAATTACATAGAGCATCATCAAAATCGAAAAAGACATTTTAAAGGGTCAAAAGGTCAATATTTTGTGATTTATATGGTTTAAGTTATATGAGTATTCTAAAATTACATGAAATTGTTTCGTTATTGAAAATAAGTTCATTGAAAATTAACAAATGTTGATATCGACCGTATAATTCATTTTCAACCCTCTTCATTAATCATATTTGATCACTCAATCAATTAATCGATCAATCAGTTTCCAATTAGACTGATCTGATCTAAAAAATGTACAATCATCGCATGATCTCATTAAACTGATTATAATGAGGGAGTGTACAGAGAAAAAGAGCGCTCAGGGAAGCGAGGGGCATCATCAAGCGAGATAACACTTCAGTGAGTGATAAATTGGAATGAGGCGTAGGGATAAGAGTGGACGTAAAATAACGTATGAGAGATGAAAGTGAAATTGCGTAAGAATATAAAATAATTAGTAGTACCAAAAATGTTAAAAATGATTGGAAGCGTAAGAAAATAGATAGTCTATAATAAGACGCGATGGTCAGAAAGAAAGTGTATAGAATTGATAGTGATATGCAGTTTAATTCCTCTGCGAATTTCAGGTGTAAGTGCATGATTTGCAGTTCAGTTTTTTTTTAAATCGAAAGCGCAGACGTACGTGAGAATAAATGTGGACAATAAGAAACTGTGAAAAGTAATGAAGGACGACAAGTAAATAATGAAAAATAAAGGCAGCGTTAGTTTGTTTTTCTATTCTTTTGTTCATTCGACAGAGAAACAAATAAAACTTTTTTTTTTTGAGTCATTACGTATTTTTTATTGAGTATCACTTTGTCATCGTTATAGTATTGTGACAATTGCAAACTACTATAACATCTTGGTGTTATGTATGTAAGAAATTTTCCAGAAGCATGTGGGTGAATGATTATCAATACTCTTCATGGAACCTATCAAAATGAATTTATTATTTTGTTAACAAGCTTTTATACAGCTCATGTACCAAAAGGAGTGTGATCCAGTTACGATCGATCTGCTCAAAGTACGACCGGAAGATATCGCCAGTCAAATTACCTTGATTGATATTCCACTGTTCAAAGCAATCACTGCCCAGGTATTGTAGTACACTTTGTTTTCGATCTAGGAGTTTCCGGTCTAAAAAATTGCGTATGTTAATGAGCTAAAATTTAGATCAAATAACCTTTGATTTTCGTACAGTTTTTGATTATATATACTATATGTAATAGCACACATTATGTGTAATAACAAACAAGGTTGTGCTCCTATTCTTCAAACGTATGTTTTGTTACAGAGGACTTTGTTTTCAGAAGGTTTCAAAATTTCAGATTTTTTTATTTAGGAATTGTTAAAAGGAGGCTGGGGAAAGAAGAATAAACATCTGGATGCATCGAATATAGTTTCATTTACTGATCGGTTTAATTCCGTTTGTCTGTGGTGCCAACGAGAAATCTTGTCGTACGAAAAAACAACTAAACGTACCGAAGTTCTGGAACATTTTATAAAAATTGCAAAGGTATTATTTTGATTGTCAACACTGTATGTAATTTGTTATGATATGAATAAAAATTTGTCTATATAGATCAGTATCATGTGGAAATAAATTGATTTTAAGTTTTTTTCAGCAGTTATACATTCTGAATAATCTTCACTCAACGTTTTCCATCATCAGTGCCCTGCAAAGCCTTTCAATACATCGTTTGGTGAAGACTTGGAGTGTAAATTTAATTCTATTTATTATTCGATATCGAATGACTATCTATAACTTATTAATTATAATGTAGAAGTTCAATGAAGGCATATACTAATATAATCCTGAAAATCAGAATTTACAGCTTATTAGTCGACCAGAACGTGCAGTATTTACGAACTTGAAGTTACTATTTGAGAGTGAATGCAACTGGAAACGTTTGAGAGAGCATTTAAATTCGGCTGAATTACCTTGCATACCTTATATAGGTAAATAGCTGTTTCTTTTTGTTTTGCGCATCTATATCAGCAGCTGAATGTAACTTTTTCACTCATATTCAAGTCTTTAAGGAATTCAGTGACAATGATATTTTTAAGCAAAATTCTTAATTATCCGTATAGGAACATGCTATTTTAGTACCTAGCAAACTAAGTTTTAGGTCTGTATCTTACTGATCTAAGTTTTATTGATGCTGCGAGTTGTGTTGTGAAGAAGACATATACTGTATCTCTGAACAAAGAGCGGAAAAAGAAAGATATTATCAGTCGAATTTCTTATTTTCAAAAATCATTATATGGTATGACCAAATCTTTGTTATTTCATTATTAGCATTGAATTTATGTTGTGACTAATTAATAACGTTTTTTCAGATAATTTGACTCACATCGAATGTTTGCAAAAATACCTTAATTCGTTACAGTTTCATGAAGAATTCATCAAATTTGAAGAAGATGATTTGTTCAAGTACGTTTTAAGTTTTCTGCAACTTTAAATTTCGTGATGAAATGTCTCAAACAAAATATAGAAAGTTTGATGTTATATTTGTGTTTTGTAGTTGAATATTGTTTCGGAATTGCTTGATTATATGATAGATATTATTATTTTTATTATTCATTTGTTCAATTTAACAAATATTTTCAAATAAAGTGAGGATAGTTACCATTTCAAAGAATGTAAAGTGTTTAGACTATCATTGGCACGTGAAAATGGTTCACAGTGTGCTTCAGCATCGTCGCCTGCTGTCGAGTTCTTACGTCGTGCTTCACTTTCACGAACTATGCGAGTATTAAACCGTTTCCGTTCTAATTTTCCATCTATTGAAAAAATAACGCATACAATGACTCCTCAACTGCCATCAAAAAATCACCATCATCGTGCTATCGTTTTTGGTAGCAGAAGAGCTCGAAGTCTCAGTGCTGGTTGGAACACAGGGTAATTTAATTTAAGATATTTAAATCATGAGCATGTAGATTGTGTTTCAGTCAAAAATTTCTTAAAAAATTTTATTCTCCATCAGTTAAAGTTTGTAAACAATTATGTTTGCATTATTAAATTGTGTTTCATGAAGTTCTTGTTTACTTTCAGAGAAGTAAATCTGTCATTTCCTTTTGATGCAGAATCAGTGGATGCTGAACCTTTTCAAGGTAATGTATATGTTTTGATCTATTTCATTCTTTGATATCAAAACCTATATAAACTACTAAGAAAAATTTGTGGTAAAAGCATTTTTAAAAATCTGTTCTCATTAAAATTGAACAAACAAGATTATTTCATAGACATCGAGAGCACTGAGTCACCCGATTCAAACTTTGCGTCAGAAAAAATCTTGAGACATACAACTTATGTAGTAGATTCGTCTTCTCTGGGTCACACCTTTTCATTCACTCCACTAAAAACGTCTACGTCTCTTAAATGTGCTCCATTGTTATCACCGAAAGCTCGATTCAGGTACCTAGTATAGTATTTTAAACGTGATACGATTTAACTTTGTTATGTTTCCATGTCACATCTGTTTTACTACCTGTTTATATTGATTTAATTTTAGAAGTTTTGATAACAGTGGTGACCAATTGTGTCTTATTGATGATGATGATGATGATGACACCAAAGTTGCTGATTATGCTGGCGAAGTTTCTGTTTTAACAATTCGTAAAAAAGGAAGCAAGCTAACAAAGGTTATTATTTATGCTAATTACATAAATTTTCAGAAAAAACATTTTAATATTCTTGCTCATTTCTAGATCAAATGTAGCCGAAAATGTTACCTAGAATTGCGGTCTTCGCAACTGTATCAGTTTTCTCGACGACCTGTTACCATTCTTTCAAAAAATGACAGAGATAGTTACAATAAAAAGGCAAACAAAATAATGAAATTAGATGAAAATGGATGGCGTGTCATACATCATATCAATTTGCCAGAACCATCATTTGAAATGCATCACCCACCTACTGGTAGTAAATTTGCTTAGTTTTTATTTTAAACTTGAGAAAAAATTTCGATTGGAAATTCTGTTGATGATAAATTATTTTTGTACCATTCAGCAATTCAGGTCGTATTTATCGTTACATATGCAAGAACGAAACAGCTGCATTAGAATGGTACAAACATATTCAAGCAGCAATTCAAGATGCGTTATCTTCTGTACCATCTACCTTAATTACTTTTGATTGAGGCTGATGCAAGTGATTGAAAGTCAAAATTTTAATTTAGTGCTTTATCACACTCATAAGATAATTATTGTATTTTTCAAAAATCTTTTGTTGCACGTTCAAAAAGCTTCTATTCTGAGTCGAACTACATATCATTTTTATTTTATAACTCTTAATAACATATAATTTGCAGTTTAATAATTATGCTTTATTTTGAAGACATTGACCAGGTATCTTGTTTCATAGTTATCCTTTATTGTATTCAAGTCTTTCCAAGTTTTTATTTAGCTCACATTTTTTCTCGTAAACATTACATATATTATTTTCTTAACGTTTGTATTTTCATTGCAAACTTGCTTGAAATGCCATGTAGAATATAACTTCTTTCGGGTTAGTCTTATCAAAAATTTTGAAGTAAATTTTTAAATAATATGTGTCTCCTAAGAGATGAAGTCATAAGAGTTATAGCATAAGCTAAGTTGATATAAAGCCATTATATTCTACGTGACTCAGGCATTTCATATAATTTTATGCTTCGATCTCTCTCAGTTACCCCAGCCAACCAATGACAGGTATAAAACCGCAACTGATCACCTGAATCTTCCTGCATATACTTCGCTTTAATTGTAAATCAGTTCTTTTCAGATTTTAAGTATCACCACTTTAGCTTTTTTCTCGCAATATTGTTTTTTTGTCTCTAAGTAAAATACGTAGTGAGTGTAATACTTGAAGATCACCTTTTATCATAATTCCATTATCTGATTCGAAATTGTTTATGTTTTTATATTTTGTTTCCATTATTCTTTTATATTTTCTTTATTTGATTAACTTGTGTTTTTTAATTTGTGCAGTAATCGTAAAAATTAGTTATATTGAACTAGTTATTTTTCTGTGCCGCTGTATGATTTTTGCGCAACTGTGATAGATAATGCTATAGCTATAATCGTTTTTATTTAATATTAATAGCAATAATTACTCCCTCCATTATTTGATCTGCTGACTCCTTCATAGAAAACTGAGTATTTTTCTGTTTTTCTACCTTGTTCATTTCTAGAGTTTGCCAGCCCTTTTCATGAGCTCAGAAGATATTCATATTAGTAAACAATCCTATGAAAATCACTTAAATTTAAATATTAGCAGTTTTTGTTGTCTAGTGATAGATCGATCGTACGCTTTATGTTTGATCTGTTCCATTACTATTGTTTCTGTTGTGTAACTTCTAACGCGGGTTTTATTTATTGTTTGAGAATCAGATTAGTGACATTGTAACATTGCATGGCGTATTCATTGTTTAGTTGTTTTCACTAATAAATCGTACATACATATTTTTGTCAATATTTTTTTGAAATTCATTGAGGCCTCGGTTTCGAATTCTTTCTTTCTTTGAATATAATGCACAGTTAGTTAAGGAAATTAGTGATGATATATTAATTCTTTATTACTTGCCTCAAAATTTAAAGTCATTCAGTCTGATTAATTTGACAAAAATGAGCTGAATAATGTCGTACTCAGTCGTAAGTTAGGATTTGAGTTACTTTTTTAGGCTTTGGTTTTTTATGGCTAAAATGAATCGAATAACATTTAAGTATCACAACAAAAATATGCATCATGGACTGTAGTTTCTATGTGCAATTTACAGGTTATGGTGATCAGATACTTTTCAAATGTCGTGGATCCGCCAGTAATGTTATACATGGGCGTAGATAAATTTGAAAATGAGAATTTAATTAGGTTAGAATATACTGAGCATATTTAAAATTATAAGAGTTTTGATGTGCATTGTCTGCTTAAAATCCCATCAATAATCAAAAAATATTCGGCGTCGAGTTCAGAATCTCCCAAATGTGGCTAAAATGTTTTGAAAATCATAAATGTTGTAAAATCATTGAGGCAGGGTAGGAAAATGCTTCGCTCTGAGTCTTTTCTAGAAGTGTATTTCATAAAACTACTACAACATAGAACAGAGAATTCACAAGGAAGAAATATTCCAAAGATTTCGTTTTGTTTTAGATGGGGTTGGCCCGAAGATGTTTGGTTTCATGTTGACAAAATTTCATCCGCTCATGTTTACGCACGTTTACCTCCAGGGCATACGTTCGACAATATGTCCGAGGCTTTAGTAGAAGATTGTGCGCAGTTGGTGAAGGCGAATAGTATTCAGGTAATTTGTTTTCTGCTTTGCGATTCTTTTCATTACTTGGCCAGTTGTTTTTCGCATCTTTTTACAAATGATTCAGAAATTTGCTTCAGTTTGAGATATGTCTCAAACATATTTTTTTATAGGGCAACAAAATAAATAATGTAGATGTCGTTTACACTCCATGGGATAATTTGAAGAAAACAGGCGAGATGGCTGTTGGACAAGTCGGTTTTAAAGATGACGGAAGAGTTAAGAAGGTTATTAGTTGATGCAGTAATTTTAACTGTGAATTTATGAAAGCGATGAGAGAGAATTCATTTTTTGTATTCCTAATTGTATATTGCATACGTTCTCTTATGATATTCTGAAAACGTTCTGTACGAGACTTTTATTTACTTTATGTCTGGATATCAGTGGACTAATGAATACGCAAGTAATTAACTGAGCTGATGTTTTCCTTTTCATTTTTAAATGTGCGCCTTGCACACTATTATTCTAATTTTATCAAGTAAGTCGCGCTCACGTTTTTATATTGGTTAGACAAAAAAATACCTTATTGTCATTATGCGCAATTTGAAGGTTGAATATTTTGATCTTTTAAGGTCCGTGTTGTGAAACGTATAAACGACATTGTTAATAGGTTGAACAAAACTGAAGTAAGAGTAGAAATTGACTATCGAGCTGAACGAGAAAATCGAGATGCCAAGGAACGCGCAGCCGAGGTAAACTGACTACTACTTATGCTAATAATTTTGTATTCAATTCTTTTAAACTGGTTGTCATTCCAAATAATTTTGCTAACAAAGTGGATTGATTTGAACTGGAAATTGTGGTATAACAATATTCCTCACATAGTTGTTGGTCTTTTAAATGCATTTTTCATAATGATATTAAAATTCTAAAACTCATATTGTTGTCTCTTTTTTCTCATATTTACTGTTTTAATAAGAAGCCGACTTTATTAGTAGTCACTTAGATTTTTGAATTTTTATAAATTAAAAGTAAATGTAACCACCAACTGCTATCAGAAACTAAGACAACGCGAGAAAAAAGAAGCGGAAAAAGCGGAAATGGAAAGACGAGAAAAAGAACGACAGATGCGTTCATATGATGGAGTTTTTAGCGAAGAAAAAATGAGTTCTAATTATGATGGTGGAAACGATTCTGATGATTTTATGTGAAACCTATTTTCAGTGTATAGTCTTTCTATTTACGCGTTGTCTTTAAGAAAGCTTCTTCTTTCGGGCTTATAATCGTTGTGGAACATGAATATGTTTTAGATAGCACTGGAAGAGATATTTTATCGTATTTATCATTTCAACCAAATAGTTGTTTTTTTACATATTTTTTCAACAATGATTTATAAACTGGAAAACTTGTTTTAAAACAAGCATGTTTCCCTATTGTTTTTTTGCATAAAGACAGCAGTTAAAGAATTTCATGAAAGTAACGCTGAATCCTTACTCTATGAAGTCAAGACAAAAATGATTATTTCACTTTCTTATTCACCATGGATTCAGCGACTATCCTCGATGTCAGTAAGATGATGTGACTGCTTTCATATTCTATATAATATGGTTTTAAGTCGCGAACAATTTCTTCAAATGTTGGTCTGTCTACTGGTTGTTTACGCCAACATAATAGTACAATATTGTATATATAATAAGGCATTGCAGTTGGCTTTTCCATTCTGTGGCCATCTTGAATTATCAACATAGAGGAATGAGTAAGGTACTTTCATTCAGAATCAAGAAGGTCAATGTTCTAAACGAACTGCTCAGAATTTTCCACTAAAATAATGAAATTAATATTTCCTTGCTTCACATCAATCCATACCATTTAAGAAGGGCAAAACTTTTTCATTCGGTAACATTCCATAAGGATCGATCACACCATAAATCTCAGTAGCAAGTATTGCATATGCCCATACATCCGATTTTGTGCTAAGTTCCCGACGATGTAATACTTCAGGAGGTAGCCATTTAAAGCTTCAATGAATTCGTTTTCATATAACAGAGCTTTCATATATTAAATGATACTTTCATTTGACTTACGGCATTTTTTGCGGATCATCGGGCAAGAAGTGTACTTCATTTCGAGTTGTTTTTGACAGACCGAAATCACTAACTTTCAATAAATATCTGCAACAGTTCGATCTTTTCTAACAATTTTTCTGTATACATATCATATAGAAAAACGCCACATACAATTTCTCCAAATCAATGACTAATATATTGCAAGGTAGGATTCAGATGGCACGGCAATGTCATGAAGAGATGATAAAGCAAGAAAAAAAGCCATCGGGATGGAAGCCAAGAAGATGAATTCGAATAACTTGCACAAAATGCATATGGTTAATCTTACTTCCAAAAACACCCACAAGTTCTGTGAATATGTTCGGAGCCTCATAACGGTCACTATTAAGGGAGTTCCAGGCCAGGTTATGGAACTCAGGACGGAAAAAAAATATCAGACAGTGTCTACGACTTCTTTATCAAGAAAGTATGCTTTCTAGCATCCAGATCTGTACAAAGTGATAGGACAGATTTCACTAGACAAGGAGAAACAGGATCCATGAATCTGCAATGCAACGACCTACCTGACAAAAAAATGTATCAAATAAAACAGCGACTTCAGGCCAATAACTTGTCAAACCTCTAAGTTGAAACGAAATGTGTGATTTCGTTTCAGCTGTTTTATTTGATACATTTTTTTTGGCACGTGTCACTGTCAGTAAATCATATGTTCAAGAAGACGCTGGAAGGCATATCATCCGATTAACGCAAAGGATTCGTCGAGCACGAATCCTTGACGTTGAGCTTGAAGCAAGTGCAGCGATAATGCCAGAATACGATTCAGAGCCAGAATTAGTAATGCAGAAAAGAAGATTAACCTCTCTGTGATACTGATTATATGAATATATTTATAATAAAATACAGTTTTCAAGCATAGCATATCATACCTATTGGTACATATGGCTTTTTCAAATTAATTAAAACGCAAGCAGTAAGTAAGCTTACCTGGTTTCGTCTTTCGGATGATGGCACATTAAAACGTTGCGTGCAGCTAAATCACCGTGCACAATTGGAGGATCTAAGGAATGCAAGTGCGACATACCTCGAGCTATTTGAATCAGAAAATCAATGTGTTCATTTGCCGAAATATTATACTCATGGGCCTGCAAAATTGGTTTTTACATAATTACTTTAGATAGACGAAGAAAATTATGCAAATTGCTGCCATGTATTTAATTTATCACATACAGTACTTTCACGTACTGAGAGCAAGAAAATTTTGATTTAATATCACGGAAACCTTCATAAAATCAGCTAACGATCCAACATCCATAAGTTCGAATGTGAGCATTACATTATCTCTTGTTTCATTATAGCAGAATCCATAAAACCTTAGCACATTTGGATGGCTTATAATCTTAAAAAATTCTAATTTATCATTAATGGATTTGACGTACGTCAACTTTTATTCGCTACAAATTTCATCTCGTTACAGAAAAGTTTCGTATAAAAATTTCTGTTCTACCTGCTGTTTTTACATTTCTTTTAGAGATTTTAAAAAAGAGACGTTTATGGATTCATTAGACATAAGTTTGCCTGTAAGATTTCCATTTCAGAAATCCATGGCTGTCGGAGATCTGCTTCTGTTGCTACCATTTTCAATTTTTTGATAGCAACATCTATCTGAAGATTGTTTATGTTACCATTTTTGAAATCATAAAAACAAAAATTGTCAAGCAAACATCTTAAACTCAAGGTATTCAAATACTAACTTGAAGATATTGGTCAGTACCTGATTTAGGATAAATATTTTTTTATTGTCTTTTACTGTTTTTTCTTGTTAATAATAAAATTTTCAAAAAATTTTTCGAATATAATTCAGTAAAAATAATTTGATAGAAAGCGATGAGCATTGTATGTGATTTTAGTGGCATCAAAATAAGTGAAACCTCATGTCCGTGAACTGTTTTTAATTTCCCACGAAATACAGCACCAAATGCTCCTGACCCGAGCATATCATCAGGAGAATATTTCTGTGATTTTCTTTAGTGAAATAAGTTATCAACTTTAATTTTTCAAAATATATCTATGATAATTATTTGAAAGGACTGTTTTCAGCTTGTACACATAAGTTTATAAAATGTTGAATAAAGCTTCAATCGAATTCAGTATTAAATTTAGTACTAAATTTGCGATGTCAATTTCGATGGCAGCATCAGTTTTCAATACCGATTCATCGGTTGGTGGTGGTTCAGAGGTTGCATCCTAAGAAGATCGGTGTATATGTTTTCAAAGATATCATTAAAGGAATAAGATGATATAACCTCAATACAAAACGTCTTTCAGAATTTTGCTGATTCTGACGGTCCTTTTTAAAGATAATACTTCATTACATCTTAATATTTTAAGGACTATTATGATACAGACTGCATAAAACGATACCTTTTCTTCATCCATGTGCAGTTTTTCATTTACCTAAAATTACAGTCATTAAGTAATGGTCAAAAATACATGATATTTACAAGAATAAAAAGTACCTTCAATGATTTTGAATCTTTTTTAGGAAGGAAAGGTTTGATGTAATTTTTTGCAGCCTCAATTGCTTCATTGCTCAATTTTACAGAATGAGCAAATTCCATGTGCGATTTTTTAAAGGGATCAAAAATTGAACGAGAAACAAAAGAGAATGATGGTGATAAAAGCGCTGCTTCAGTAATCTGAAAATTTACCAACTAAAATACCAACTTAATATTTTCATTTACAGGTTTTAATATTACCATAAGAATAATTTAGTAAAAAATTATTGAAATGATATCCAAAATACCTGATCAAAATGTCGCGCAGCCCACTGTTCACTTTTCATTGTCATTGCATAGATATCTCGACTTGGCGATGGAATTGGTGATGGAACACTATCAAAGTAAACAACTTGTTGCTGCAAATCATCAGATATTTAGACATTTGAAAAACCATGAAATGTGCTTCTATCAGAAGTAAATTCAAACGTTGATAATCTGCTAGTGTCAAGCTGTTACTGTATTTTTTTAAGCCAAAATGTTAATTTTCTGAAGAAAATAGCCTTATTTTTGAAGCAGTTTTCCGAAAGTAATTAATAATAAATTTTGTAAAATTCATTCAGATAAGAAAATATATTTTAAAATGCGGAATTCAAATTTGTGAATTTAATTTGTAATTAAATTAATAAGTAGTTTATATTTAATAAATTTATTTCTTACATCGATTGAGATTCAGCACAAAAATTGCATTCATCTTGAAGAAACAACCGAAACTTTGTTCCTTCAAAATGAATGTTATTTACAAAAATCCGTTGCTTTTATTATCTTATTTATTAAATTGTACCCACCTTTTTGGTTGGTCCATAATTGAGTTTATGAGGGATTGCTGATTGGTAATTTGTAAAGTAGTAAACTAAGTCGTAAAGCGTGGCAAATTGCCGATTAAAAAGTAAATAACGTCCTATACGACTTCGAAGAATTGTATAACTCTAGATCACAGTCAATTTGACGAAACATCATTTAAATTTGATTAAAATGAGTTTGCATAATTAACATATTTTTAATTAATTTGGGTGATTTATCTTCAGTCGTGCATATATATACATACCGAAAGTGAAAATATGCATACTGTAATTCTCTAATAAAATATATAGCTTTGACGTGATTTCTATCTGTACTTTAATTGTGTTTCATAATCAGTTTGAAGTGAAAATTAAAAATGAGCAATCGTGAGACTTTCACGTAAAATGGGAGTGACGCATGCTCGCTATGGTTGCTATCTATATCATCCTTGTCATTGCTAAGCTTACAAGTGTCCGTAGACCGTTGATCACCATCCACCTTCTAAAACATCATAAAATTTCAAAGCCCAAAAAAATTTTTAAAAAAAATATTACCGTGGTATATTTTGAGAGTCTTTACTTTGAAACTAATAAGACTTTATTGTATTCAGTTTTATTTTTCACAATCGAATTATATTAAGAACTTTGAAAACAGTACAGTTTCAACAAATAGTAATCAATTATATACTACTTATTAAGCAGCTAAAAATGCTAATAAATAATAAAACCTCAGACTGTTGCGAATTTGAGCAGTACAAGTTTGTTATAATTGCGAAGAGGACAATTCGAAATTCTTACTTTACAACTTTATACAGCTTTACTTATGTGTGCATTGATTCTCAAGATTTTTATGGTCAGATAAAGTAAGATAGAAGAAGCTTAATAGATGAAGCATTGCTTCTTGTTTATCAAAAACTATGATATCTTTTGTTAACAACTTATAATTGTAATGGCAAGAGGCTATCGTAAACCTTTTGAGAACGGCCTTGAATTTGGTCTTCAGATGCATTTGAGTGCAACATGGAACTTATACGATCTATCATATCATCCAAACTTCTTTTTGTTGCTACAAATTATAAATATGATTAGCACTCTACTTTCGAAGAATATTTGATTACAAGCTGCTAATTATTTCTTCAATCATAACTCACAACAAAATATTCATTCCTATATTAAAACAATTACGATATATTAATTAGACTCCCAGAACTAATTGTTTAATGATATCACGATTGACTTTTGAATTGATCTCCGTAAGCCTTGAAAGTTTCTGTCATAATATTGGTCGTTTTACTGCACATAACGAGCATTATATAAGGTCGGTGATCTCGAGCATCAATATTTAGCCAAATTGGTGAGAATATCACGAATAAACCTTAATTATACAAGTTATATTTTAATTTGCATATAATTTTAGCAGTTGAAATTCCTTTCATTAGAGAGTTCATAATCCCTATTAATACTCGAATGCATTTGATTTCAAATTAAACAGAACTAATCTTCAAATTAATTAAAAATGATAAGAAATATAAGCCAAAAATCAACTAGAAAAGAGTATAAGAACCTGGCTTGTATGAACTACGATCTTCTAAAAGATAATCATAAGCTGTATTGATATCAGCGATACCCATAAACCAAGTTGGTTCAATAAATATTCGCTTATTTTCTGGAATTAGTCAGAAAGTCATTAAAAAAGTATTCTAGGTTAAGTCATCTCAATTAATTAATTAATCATAAAAAACTGATAAATTTCAACCGATCACTTTATACCTTCATAGAAACTCTTTTTGATAAGCCAACATGAAGGGATTAAGCCAAAATTTGGTTGAAATGACCGATTAGTTATCCATCGACCTAATGACCATCGCATAGGAAGTCGAAGATATGTTCGGCCATCTGATGTTATATCGTCAATTTTTCGAACTCTAGTATTAATTTTCAGTTCTTAGGCAGGTGCTTGAGTAAATAATTACTTTTATTACATGATCAGAACTAATCTTGAAATTACCATAATTTCTCTAAAATAAATTGTGGAATGAAGGAAAAAATTCATCTCGAAAAGTAAATATTTGCAGGAAATTCTATTTATGAATTTCGGCAATACTGAAAGTAAGCATCGGTTATTTGTTAAAATTAAAAAAAAGTTTTTAAATATTACTGAAATTCCTCGCAGAGGACATTGATCTGATCACCAGCAATACAATTCATGTCTAAACACGATGTACCTCCAAAATAATCCCAAAGAGCAATGTGTGGTACCTGAAATGTTTCAGTTACTATACAGTGATCCATAAAATGGTACTGAATTTTGATGCCTTTTTTGATTCAATCAAAAATTATAAATCAATTAAAAGTGAAATCTCAGAAAAATCAGTTCAATATTGCTCAAAACTAAGTGAGTAACAAAGTGTGGACAAAATCAGATCCAAAAATGATCCAGTAAAAATACTCAATATTTTTACTTTCATTTTATCAGATTGCTTATCAAATTTACTCAGCCTTTCATGACAATACTACAGTGCTTATAACATAATGCTACAAAAAACATATTTAAACACAGAACTAACATACTTTTTTACAAGTGAAATTAAATTCACTACCTGTATTGGTTTCGGTTCAGTTCCTCTTAACTTTTTCCACCACGAAAGACCCTCCACTTTAAATACGAAATTCGCTGCGCTATCATAAGTCTTGAATAGAAGATCGTCTCGTAATGGTAGGCCATTTACATCCAATCCAAATCTACAACAACTGATTCCAGCTAGTTTCTGTGAATAATTTCAGCAAAATTTTTGATTTATGTAAGTTTTAACTTTCAAATTTTTTCATTAAAAAAATGGCTCTAATGACTTTAAAAAAGTTATTTATAAGACAAATATGCTAATTTTATTGCTAAAAATATGTTATTGATCACTTGTTGATAATTTGATCATCACTGAATACAGCACTAGTTATTAAAATAATATTCTGATAAATTCAAACTTGAAAAGTCTTTGCGTGAATTCATTATCATCCATGTAGAGCTCATCAGTGTCTTCATTTCCAATGGCTGATTCGGGTTCATTCGAATAAACCGATGAAAGATCAGACGCATCATCCAGTTTATCGTTAATACGATAAATGGCATTTGATGGTAGTAGAAAAGCATCACCTTCATTCAAGACGTATTCACCAACGCTCAATAAGCTGAATTTGACAATAATAAATCTTAAAATGATACTTAAACATTTTTAATTTAAGTGATAATTAAAGTTTTCAAATTTTTGACATCTCTGCAAGGATTAATAATTATCGCTATTTGTGCTAACACAACACTATCTACTAACTCTAATTTAAGTATATTTCTCGTTTTTCATGAAAAAAGTTTCAGGAATAATCGGAGGTAATCAATATATCACAATAAATTAAATTATTAACTAAATCCACAGCATTCAGAAAAACAATAATTTCAGATTCCAGCTAACAAAACCAATGAAACATACGCATTATAGCTCGACATTACGGACAAAAATACTTTTTTACTCGTTTGTATTCTTTTTAAAAAAGAACAGATTTGAAAATTTGCATAAGCATCAAAAAATGCTGATTTCTTGATCAATGTTATTATTCCCCGATTCTGAGCAAATCAATGCTAAATTTTAGTAATTGTGCATTTCTGGTTCTAGCAATTTTGAAAATGGCCAATTACTTGCGAGATGACCACAAAGACTGAAATAAAATTATTATAGTTGACTTTTTTTAAAATAAAAACTTCAAAATTTTTAAAACGTTCATACTTCCATAATTTTAATTTCAATCATTTGCAGCATTTTCTGGACTACTTGCATATTTAAAAGGTAAAAACATTATAAGTGAAGAGATCCGAAGCACTTCGACTTTCCCTCATAATCACTATGCAAATATTTCACTTCACCTTCGATGGTCATTACCATGTAATAGAAAAGTTATCCCAGAAATGTCTTGATAGAAAGATCAAATCCTTGATGAGATATTTAAATTATGCACACCATGCACATATGTACCCTACTACCCCACCTTCATGAAGTATTACAATCAGACTGCATCAGCCATTATATTTTCTAGCAAACTCCAAATCCGAGTATTATGTTTTCATATAAAACACATATTACCTCTTTTTATTATTTATCATTCTGATCTTTATTTAAAAACATACTCCTTTACAAATATTATCATACCGATTACCAATAAATTTGAAAACGACAAATACATAGGAAAGATTTTAAAACATGAAAAAACTACGTAAATATTAAGTATTCAAAGTGGGCAAAATAGTAATGATATTAATTAACACTAACTAGTACACGCTTATTATCATTTTCGTCAATAAATTTACTTTTTCTATTACGTCTATTCCAGTATTATGTTTTCATAATATAAATATGATATAAATTAACTAATAAATCCCTTCCAACGTCTTCTAGAATTTTGCTGATTCTGACGGTCCTTTTTTAGAGCTAATACTTCATTTCGATATAATGCTATATTCTAATGTAACATTTACAAATCTATTAACGCGATACTAATATAAATCTGGAATATCATTTTTCAGATATATATTAATATTGTGTTCTAAGATTTCTAATTTATATATACTACCATAAATATTTGCCATCATTAAAAATTAGGCAGTGAACAACAATATCATCAACAATATATTCCTCGAAATTGCACTTAATTAATAATTATCTTATATACAGATCAAAAAACTATTCTTATCGCCAAAAAATTGCAAATATAGATGATACAAAATGTCTATTACTTTTTCGAACTTTTTCCAATAATTAAAAGACTAAACTAAATGTTTCCAAAGCTGTTTTGCTGACTGAAATCACTTAATACAATAAAACTTCCGCCATATGATGAGGACCAAACGATGTTCTATATTTTAAATCCTGAATTATTTCTTTATAAGACATCGATCTATCTGAAACAAAACAATAAATGTAAAACTGAGACCTATCTTTTCTGCAGTAAAAATTGAGCATAAATATTCAAAAACACAAAGATTAATGCTTGCATGCCATAAAATTATATTACTACTAGCTTACATACGTCTTGGCAACCAAAAAATTGTTCGACAACCTTTAAACTTTTGAAGTAAAAAAAACAGAAGGACAAATACAGAAAAACTAATAAGCTTCTTCATTTACGTGAAAAAGCTATCAGTCAAGGCAAGCAAAAAAGTGAGATAAGATATAGATTAATATTTGAAAATAAAGGTAAACACAATTGTAATTTATTTTGCACAATTAAGACGTTCAGAATTTTGAATAACTACAAATTCTCAATTGCTATTATACTTTATTATTTATCTAAATTGTGAAGAAAAAGTCACAGCATAATGGTATGCTGTTCAAAGAAATAATTAATACTTTAAAGTAACTCAAAAAATTAAAAATATTCGCATTTTTCAAAAGTAAGATGGCAGAAATAATTTACACTGGAAAAAGCGTGTTTTGACCTACAAATCAGCAGAACCAAATAACACTACTTAAAATTCAATAGCTCATGGTTATACAGATTTATAAGTTAAGTTAAAAATATTTTAAGAAATACTTTTCAAGACTAAACTTCTATGCAAAAATTTTCATGTTCATAATATAAAATGACAAAATAACAGTAGTGTTTTAAAAGAGAACTGCTTATAATCTCAAACATTATATAGTTCATAAACTAGTTTTTGAGCACTAAGACAAACAATGGAATTATGTAGAGGTAAAATCAAATCTAATAATTTAAGTTGTGCACCAAGGATGAATTAATTATGACTCTATTAATAAATACAACTAAAATATAGCAGAATATCAGAAAATTGAGTATTTTCCAACTAATTCAAAAAAAAAATAGTTCATAGGATACAAAAATTCATAAATAACCACTACTCCATCGTAATAAATTGCTTCGCTTCATCCTATTCAATTTTTTAGTCGATGGTGCCAAATCATTTGACACTGCCTTTGGTTCTACATCACTTTTCTTACGTAACACAAAGTTCAACATCGGTGATGTAGAATCTGGTGCTACAGCATAATATGGATTACATTTTTCTGGCAGAAGAAATTCACCTAAATTCAGAAATATATTTATTCATTCTTCTGAAAGAAATCAATTTAGGTAAAAAATGCTTGAAGTTTACAGTGACTATATCATCACCATTAAAAGTTAGTACTGACAACTTCACTTCACTCAGCTCTACTTGTCTGATGTGAATAGATCATGAAAAATATCTCTGTTCTCATTCAGTGCAACAATTTTTAAGAACACCAGCATCATTAAGGAAAAGAACCTGAAAATACATCGAATTTTGAGAGACAACAGAAATTTCTAGCGAATAAAAATTTTGATTGACTAAAAATTTACATCCATCAGGTAACAATTGAACAAGGCAGTAATCTGATTGATCACCACATAAAAGATGCTTCTCTATGATCCTTTCAATTAATTCTGTCAATCGATCTCCGTTTTCGATCTAAAAAGCAAACTTAAAATCACTGACCAGAACGGATTACATATTAACTGAATACTTTTGAATAAAAATTACATTGGCACTCCATTTATAAGCATTTTCTAGCAATTCTTCAACGATAAGTTTTAGTATTTAGAAAGAGTTATCTGTACCTCAAAAACTTTAACATAAAAAACGACGATCACAAAACCTTGGGTTTTTATTAGTAACCTGGACTAGATGATTCAAGACCAATGAATGGTTTATGAAAGAAACCTTGATACATTTATAATTGGCACTGCCCTTATCACTTTGTAATGAATCATCTAAAGCAACTCTAGCAAGATGAAATGGCGTTTCTTGTTGTACTAAATTGCTAGTTGATCTTCCGGATGCCTGAAATTAAAAAAAGTTGTAAATTATGTCTTTTCTTCAATATCAAAGAAAAGAAGGTATTTTAAATCTTCACCTTGTTCTCAATACCATCAATTTTATTTGGAAATCCAACCGAACGTTCAGAACAAGGAGTAATATCACAACTGACTGGCGTACCAGTCCGTGATGACGGAACTTTCTAAAAACTCAACTACAGAAACCAACAAACAGAAATTTTCTTCATTAACTTGATTAAAATACAATCAAAAAGTAAAAAATAGGCTTGCAAGTAATATCACAATCTCGATTGAATATTATAATTAATTTTTGAAAGCAACTGAAGGAGAAAAATTGGAAAAAAAACTAACCATTTGTACACGACCACTAGTGCTTACTGGAGAGTTTATTAATGAATTATATAATTGCTGCTTCCTTTCACAATCGCTACTAGTCGCTCGTCTATGCGCAAATGTTATACCTGGACAGAATTCACTGCCTGAAATATAATTCCAGAAAACTCCTCAAATGAAGAACGAAATAATTGCTAAAGCCTATACAGAAAAACAAATTTATTTTCTCACTGCATTATACCTTACCACGAAAATTTCAATTCAGATTTAAAATTTAATGAAAAGAAAATCATGCATGAAATTAAAGATGAAAAAACTGACCGCCTTTCCAAAAAATTGTATTAGCTGGAGTTGAAGAAGCAGTGAATGAATTTGAGGATGTAATCTCAAAAGGAGAAGCAGTAATTTGCTCAGAAAGTGACTTATTCGCAATTCCGTACCAGGAATCTTCAATTGCAATGCCCGAGTCATTAGACGTTTGCGCACTGTTATCTGCATTTTCATCTACAGTCATACCTGACATTAAACGTGACAATGTGTTGCTGAAAAATATTGCGAAAACTATCAAACATGCCCGTGAAGACCTTGAGAAAGAAAAAAGCAGATATTAATCTTAGAAATATCAAATAAAATAACATCAAAGTGCAAAAATTTTTAACGTTATTGTAGCGTCTTTAAATCTAGCGATAAAACTATAACCTTTTATACTCAAAAAAAAAGAATAAAGCAACTGCTGCCCAGAAAAAATGTTCTCGAAACTATGCATCACTTGCTACAACTATTTTTTTTAAATGTTTGAAAAATAAAATTTGGAACGAAATTTAGAGTAGAATAAAATGACTAACATTTTTGGCCCATGTAATGGCTGCAGTTTCGATGATTCTATCGTATTCGCTGGCAATTCAATCTCTAATGACCTCAGAAAACTGTAAAATTTTGTAGTTCAAATTAAAAAAAAATTTCTGTTGCTTCTTTTAAATACTCAGAGCTATTAGAATAAAAGTTTTTTTTTAATCATCTAGCCTAAATTTCTACTATGCTTGGTATCTGCTCTTAAGAAATATATCTCAACTAAAGAAAAATATTTCTTAGAAAATATAACGCGAAAACTTTTATTTGAAAATCATATTATTTTTACTATGCTAATGCAATTAGCTTTTAATTGCACTAGCAATTACTTTATAATTTTTTTTAGATATGTATTAATACTAGCTTGAATATGAACTAATATTGAATTATTCATCTAAATAAAAATGGCAAAAATATAAAGTTCCAAATAAAATACAGTTCTCAGTTATATGCAAATTCAATTTGCTCACAATTAATAGGCCAAAAAATTATCCAGAACCATGAATTATTTGAAAAACTAGAATTAATTATGAATAAAACCAATGACGACCATTGATTTTCATCCAGAGCTGGCAAGAAACAAAACCACGAGCAAAATGCCATGTCCATTGGGATTTTGTAAGCACGACATGCGGATTGAAACAAACGAATTTTGGCGATAATTTCAAATTCTTTGCGTCGTTTCTCAAAATTGATGAGACCTTCTAAAATTAGCCTCGACTTCTAAATTGTGATCTCGTAGGAACATAAGTTGAAAAACATATCTCAAGATCTCACCCTCAGTGACATCAGGATTAGCTTGATCGATCATAGAAAGATCAGTTAGGAAAGTACCCAAATATGGGACAGTCCCCTGTGATTCGGCAAGGTTAACATCACTTTTTGTCCGCCTACAATTCTGAATTAGTTGTGGGCGTCTAAGAGGAGAGCTCTTTGCTGTACCCTCCTGAAAATGAAAGAAACGTTGCGTAGAAAAAAATTTAAGCGCTTAAGATAAAAAAGATATAATAAAAGTCAAATTTTGCACAAATATTTAGGGATATAACCTCGTCAAGAATTTGCCTCACTCGACGTTCTTCTCCATCATCATCTGCATCAAAAATTGAGGCTAACTCATGAAACTGAGCCAATGAAGCACTAAAAGAAGAATATCAAGCAGAAAAAGTTTTGAAAATGAAAAAGACTAGACCTTTCCTGTTAAAACGCACAATTTCAGAGAAATTAACAATTATTAACTGGAACTTTAATACCTAGTTACAAGTGCCCACGTCGATTTCAGTCTATGAACTGGTTCAGACTGAAGCGTAGATATGACTGCTTTTAATGATGAAAAATTCTTTAAAGCTCTCAGTTCCTGAAAAACTTCATGTATATACAACAACGATACAAATAATGTGTACATCAATCCCAAGACTCATATAAATAATTTGACTATAATGCAGTTACTCTTGCGACATCGATCCATTTTACTATAATTTTAGCGCGAAAATCAGGTAGACAATCTGGAAGAACTATGCTCGTCATCACTTTTTGAACAACAGCATTGAACTGAAAGTTACACATTAATTAGAGTAATTTTTTAAAAGATCAAGATGGTTTAACTGATGATTCATGAGTTTGTCTTACCTACTTCAAAAATCGTGAGAAATTTACTAAAATACTTGAGAAATTCAAACTTTGAAAAAGCAAAAGTAAGGCAAAAACATTAGACAAGTTCTTGATGCTTGTTTACCTGATTGATTGTTGCTCGAACTGAATACACCGTTTCCGGTCCTCGTTTGTGTCTCTTGTTCCATATCGAACCTTGGCACTGTTGTGGTAACAATTCTTTGAACAATTCCTATAAAAATAACAAATGCAAAAGATCCATATCACATAAAACCAATTAATATAAGTGATTACCTTTATCTACTACTAAAGTCATAAATCTTACAGCATCCCAAAATGTAAGCTGCTCAGCAATCTGTACACAATTTTCATTTCCGATATCAAACATGTTCGCCCTTTGTACACATGCATCAAAATCTGGTGCATCACACTCTATGTTAAAAACGTACTGCTCCATAGACGGTATGTGAGCTGTAGAATGCATGAATTAAATGTTTTCAAACTCTGATACATAAGGAAGCAAAAGAATTGAAATACCTTTGTGAATTTTTTAAGTTTCTATAAGTTTTATTTTACTGCAAATGCTTCAAAAAAATTAGATACCATAAAATAAAGACGACAAAATGTCTTAAACAATATTTTTCTCCACATTATAAATAAATTTAAAGAAAAAAACATTAATATGATATTTTTGGTTTCGATGTGTACAATAACATAAGTAAAAAACTTGAAACAACATAAAATAAAAACTCAGATCATTAAACTATAAATATAATAATGAAAATACCTAAATAACGTCCATCCATAACCTGACGTTTGTATGTTTCTCGTAATTGTCGAGCTCTCGTTCTTACATCAGTTATTTTATGAATTCTACCGAATTCAATCAATCGCATTAAAGTTGCAAAATCGCTATTCGGATCATTAAAATCTTCAGGATATATTTCTAACCAACACATCAATACAGAACGCAGAGAGCTGAAATGTGGAAACACTCAGAAGAGTAACTTTATCCACAAAATCTGTTGAGATTGACGAATTTATTCGTCATTTTCAACTGACGTTGCTTGTCTTGTCAAGATGTTTTTGAAATTATTATTCTCAAAAGATGAGAACGAGTAACCAACCACTGCAGAGTCACAGTTTTGGCTTTGCCAATTATCAATGAATTCGTAGCAAGCAATGCATAACGTTGAAGTAAAAGTTCTACAACATCTGAACACGTTGCAAAAGAACGATAAGTAGCAAAAAACACATTAAAATGCCTTGAATCCATTAACATATCATCTCCTATAAGGCACTCCTGAAAATTAAAGATGATTTACAAAAAAAGAGTAATATATTATTTTTCAAGAAATATTTTACATTTTCTAAAAATCCTATTTCCTCTGCAAGTAAGTTCAAAGTTTTAATACTACTAAAGTGCTATATTTCTAAGTTGAAGTTTTTTAATTATACAAAGCGTTTACAGACAGAAATTACGTCCAATTTTTTTGCAATTTTTGCTTGCAAAAATCAATCAACAAAAATTATGTCACTACAAAAAGCAGAATTGTTTCAAAAATTTAATTTCTTCAACAAAGTAATATAAAAGTTTACCACAAGTTTCTCTAACGTTCCAGCTCGAATAATTCGTTCTCTAATCGTTTCCCATTGTAAATGATCCAAAGTATCATCATTTAAAAAGTGTGACTTCTCTTCACTACTGTTGCTATCATCTTCCTTTATAAATAAAAGTAAAAACATATCACATAATTTATATGAGACTCAAATAGCTCCGATAAAGAAAGAAGATATTTTTTAAATGTTCAATCTCATTTTCATTTTTTTCGAATGACTATTAAATATCACAAGTTCATGTGAAATAATTTAGAACTTACATGAATTTCAGTGTTTACTGGAGCAACATAGCGTACTTTCCGCAAGTAAATTGCATAAATCGCATCCTCTAATTTTTCTTCCCCAAAATATTTCGCAGCAGTCATTATTATCTTGCAGTTGTGATTTAAAAATTAGACTAATAAATGAGTGAAAATAAATTATATTACCGCAAATTACATCCAGTAATGCATTTTTGGAGAGTACTGTTAAAGAAGCTTGAGAGATTCCATATGTACGCTCTGGCTTTTAGATCCCATAGCAGTGAATGTTATTAAGTTAATTACTGCCATAGCAATCATTAATCTGAAAATGAAATTTTTAAATCATATATCAACAAAATGATAATAAATACAAATTTAGTATTAGCAAATATTAAAAAATCTATCAAAAAGCAGAAAAATGACGTGTTTACGTTACATGAACAAGAAGATATATTTATTCAAGCAAATCAACAAAAAAATTAAACACATGAAAACATTCACTTGGCTCCTCTCAAATAAACTTTTTTATTATAATATTTTATAATCATAACACTAAATTTCGACTAACTCATGCACTATGATGTGTTATACAATTTCTTCAAACCTCCCAATCTCTCTTACGTCAGAAAATTGTTAACATTTTGGTGTTTTTTCTCTCTCTATACTCATCTCATGCCCTTCGAGCAATATTTTAATTGAGCACTGTCTAAAATACAAAAATTTTTAAACCGTTTTATCACCGTTGTTTCATTCTTTTTGATCAAAATTAAATTTATTGAATCATGTAGTTATACGAAATGAAATCATAGTCCATTCTACCACATCGTTACTTTCATTTATACTCAATATATATTATACATATTTTTAGAGATATTAGCTGCACTACAATTATAACTTCAAGAAAAAAATTTTTAAGCTACACAACCCATACTCTTAGCTGCGATAGCTAAATCCTATCTCAAGCAAATCTCTAGTAGCCCTGACCATCTGTTCAAAATATTAAGCTACATATAAATAGATTTTGTTTTGCATAACACGGAGTACACCTATCAGTACATAATTTAGCTGATCATACACTGCTATTTGCGAAGACAAAATGAATTGTATCATTTTGCAAATTGTAACTTCTCCTCAATTGTACTGAGAACTGATATATATTTTTTCGGACATTAATTTAATACATATTAATTTCTAAAATCAAACAAATTGAGATGAAAATGAAGTCAGAAAATATTGCTTAGCTTGTATAAATCCTAAAATATATTTCGAATACGACTATAGTCTCGAGAAATGCTCAGAAATATTACCTAATAACAATTACTGCAATTAATAGATAACTCAATATTGAGTACTAATTTCTGGGAAAGTGACTGAATAGTTAAGCCAGAACAAAATACAGAATGTCAAAAAATCTAAAGAAGATATGACATACAGAAATTGCATTTTTTTAAAATGGTATCGAGATAATATTTATTCTTATATACTTTGTAATTTTTCAATACACGTTACAATATTTGAGTATTAATGAATATTCTGTTCAAAATATTATGCTAAATATAAATAGATTTGGTTATATCTATGAATTTTTTTGTTTATTTTACGACAAATACAATTATTTTCAAATTGCTTAATTACAAGTTTTCTAAGTTAAAAAGCAAAAGCATAGAGTTATCCAGCAGATTTCAGTATGTATGAATCTTGCTAAGCTTACAACCAATCACTTGTAGTAAGTTAAAATCAAAACGAAAAAAAAGTGATCACAGAATAGGATAGAAATTTGAATTAAAAAAAATAGCCCAGCATAAATTTTGTTTACATACTGCCTTCATAGCAAGAATAAACAAATATGCAGCCAATATGAAATTTGTAAAGTAAACCATCAACAAATTTCAGTAATAAAAACAAAAAAATTCCAGACGAAAATTGAGATGAATCTTACACTCATATAATTTTCTTTGTTTTCTATGCATTGCTCTCACACAGAATGTAATGATATCGCATAAAAATAATCGAAAAACGATTAAAAATTAAAAATTTTTAAATTCGACAAAAATATTTTTTGTTTTTTAGTTTTTTCAAACGATTCTAAAGGACAAGATGTTCTGTTATACGTATAGTTAGGTTTAAAAAGGCGCAACTGCACACATGTGAGCCACAAATCCGAAAACTATAACTAATAAAAATCATCTCCTCTATAAAATAATTTCTTTATTTTTCTTACAATAAATTTAAACAAATATCTTTTATTAGATACTCTTTGAACTTTGACCTTAGAAACATTGTTAAAACTGAAATTATCCTCTATCTCATGATTTAAAACAGAAAAGTACTAAATAATTTGCAAATAATAAAGTAATCTAGTAAGTAGATAAAAATATAATTACAATCAGAACTGAATACTCACGATATTTTCCACTATCAACTTCATTATCAATCTTTTCATAAATAGTGCTATAAATTTTACTTGATTAAATCTAAATCAAAAAATTCAAGTGAATTGTATTTAATGGAATTTGTCAAATATTTACTGCATTTGTTGACTTTGAAAAGTGAGATGCTAGCAATCTTTAAGTTATAATGATTTTAAAAAATTCTAAGAATTCTGAGAGGATTTTTTTTGTGCATCACTAATAAAATAACAAAATATCTGTCATTTAGTAATATTCGTCAAGCAAAAATATAAGAGTAGCAAATAATATAGACGATAATTCATTCAAACATTCCATTGCAGTAAGAATAAGAAATGTAATACAATCAATCATTCCTTGCGTTGTAATTCGTAAAAACTAGCAATTTATTGAAGGTCAGCTGAATTATCGCTAACACTAACATTCAATGCCACGCATTGTTTGCAGTATAGTCTTAGAGCTAAATCACTAACTGTATTACACAGGTCACTACGATAGTAATAATTAATCAGATTTATTTTCCAATGATAGATAGTAC